AATAGTGGAGAAACAAAATAGCTGAGATATCAAGGTTTAAAAAGCCTCTACTGTGCATGCATAATAACTTTTCATAAGGATTTTACTACGCATTTTGTATTATGGATCCATGATATGCAAATGCGTACTGCTGTTAATATGCATTCACAGCATACCCCATAACTGCTGCTTTGCTGTCTACTGTGAATGCATGTTAAGAATAATACACAAAACACAGTTAAATGCACTCTATAGAATGGCTGCACAGCAACAAATATGTTACTGAACACATACCACGATTTTTTTTTCCTGTGCCCAGGCTGTATAGTTTTGAATTATAAGTAACTCTATTTCCAATGCAGTATTACCATAATACATTTAACAGAGCCAAACATTAATAGATTCACTGAAATAATATCAAGTTCAAAGGACTGCAGAGCCTCCACGGTGCATCAGGGGGACTGACCCAAACTGCACTGCAGTCAATGGGAGCCCTTCCAGTAACTTCAGTGTGTGCTCATCGGATACCCAGGGAATGTCTCTACTGTGTCGTCTTTTTTTTTTCCTCTCTCTTTTTTTTCTCTTTTTTTTTTTTTTTTTGAAGTTTTTTCATCATCCTCTCCCAACTGGCCTATATCTCCCAGTTTTGCTGAAACAGGAGAGCTGAATTAAAATTAAGGAACTCTAATGAAGTTTGCTCAGGACCAGTTTGGTGTGTGGTGGTCTGGTCGCCCACTGACAGAAATAGGAACTTGTGGTCAGTGCGGGGCTGTTCAGAAGGGGGGTTAGCTAAATCTTTTTCTCTTCTTTATTTCTTTATCTTTCTAGCACAGGCACTAAACATCCCAGCAACTTTGTTCCTTGTGTGTGTAAAGTCATGGTGACAATCCCGCAATGCCAAACTCTCTCTTCTTCACTCATGAGCTGGCATGAGTTTGCCTTCCTCCCACAGCACCTACATACACAGCCTAAACATCACAGGAGGACCAGAAATGCCCTCTCCAAACCTGCTCACCTCTGATCAAGATGCAGTGTTTGGTGTCTAAGCCAGAGCAAATACATAGATAACAGTATGAAAAACAATGGCTTCTGGCTCCAGGCTCCTGTTGAGTTTGGAGCTCAAGAGGAGATGGGAAGACCCGTTTGGAATTTTTTTTGTTTGTGTGGTTTTGGGGTTTGGTTTTAGTTTGTTTGGGTGGTTTTGGGGTTGTTTTCTTTTTTTCTCTTTCATTTTTGTTTTTCTTTTACAAAAGTAGAACAAAAGAGGATGGTGTCTTGTGCAGGGCTCTGGTCTGTCAGCCCCAGTGAGTTTAAGACTGAGCAGAACAGGGACCCTCTGGTGAAGGCAGGACTGTATCCCTACAGAAGGAGCTGCTGAGGGAGGAACCAAGACCAATGTGCCATATGCCAGGTGGCTGTCCTGTGTACAGATAGCGCGCTATGAACGGAGGTGATGCGTATCCCTGTCCGGGGCAACCCAGCCCCTTTCTGCATCTCTGTGTCCCCAGTATGCTGCCTGAGACTATGAACTGCTTTGTGAGGGGAACTTGCTGTTCCCATCAAGTTGACTAAGCCCTCTCCCACCAGTGCTAAAACGATGCTCAAGGATATGCATCCTTCTCCCAGGAGAGATGACATTAAAGATGACATTAATAAGGACCCCTGGCTTCAGAGAAATAACGTAGATTAGCTCAAGAGTTCAATCTGAAAATTGTTGGGGTTTTTTTTAACCCATCTGCTAATGCTGCAAATTATTATAAATGTGCTCTGCTCTAAGCTCCCTGTAATGAGGATGTACTTTTTGCTCTAATCAGACATCCTTAGTTTTATGTTTTGAATAGGCTGTTAGGGACAAATACGGAAGAGCTGCAGAGGGGTTAGTTACTCTATTTTAATGGGAGTCGCTTCAGTAAAACATGAATTTAGAATCTGAAAATGGTCTCTAATACTAATTGCTGATGGTTAAGCAAAAATGAGTTTGTGACCAGAAATTCCTCTAAGATTTCTGGAAGACATGACCAGAATGGGTCTGATTTAGATATAACATACATTTGACATAACCTTCTTAGTTTTGAGCTACTCCTGGCTTTCATTTAATATAAATGAGTTGAGAAAGGGTGGGACCAAATAATCTTAAAATTGAAAATACATTTTTTTAAAGATTAATAAAATGTATTTCACCTATAAAAGTAATGGCACAGTATAGGCTGAAAGTCTTATTACCAGATTAAGTGGTCATAGGCACCATGCAGCAATATGGGATTTAAGGTACTTCTTTCCATGGGAAAAAATGCTCTAGTCAGGCCAGTCATGAAGCTGTGTCTCTTCTTGAAACTACAGGGGGTTAAGATCATTCTTATTGCTTTGTGGTGTGAAGCAACCCTATGGTACATCTGAGAAACTTTCTTATTTTATTCATACTTGATGACTGGGGTTGTCACACTCTCTGCTACCTTACCTGAAGGATGCTCTGAGATCAGTAAGTTAGCCTTTAGAGGCTGCACCAGGGACTCTTAGCTGTAGCACACACCCTGATTCTGCTAATCAATGTCTACTCTCTAATGGCAATCTCTGTCAAACAGCTAGTTAGTGATGCTGCTTTTTTCCTCTCTGTAGTCTGCTGGTGGCTACAGTGATTCACAAGCATGCTTCCCCCGTGTTTCCATTTTGAGAATGTCTCTGTCCCCATCAAATCATGGTTTTGGGGATGGACCTTGCAGCCAGTCCCCTCTAGAGGAGTTAGTGTGGGTATGCATGATCCCAGAAGAGACCTATGCTGCTTCCCCTTATAAGCAGACCCTATGGCTGTGATGCATGCTTTCTCTTCTGTAAAGTGAGGCATTTCTTCCTCACAAAATCCCTGAGGTTTATGGTTTGCTTTCCTCTCCCCACTACAACTCTCCCACAGCAAGAGGCACCTGATGGGATGCTCTCCCTAGATCACCCATCTGGGTGTTCCTGATACTTTTTCTCCCTTCCTGCAGTCTTCCCCCTGTGAAATTATCTGTTGCATGGGAAGCAACAATGTGCTGAGCCTTGTGTGGTGAGGTGGTGCTGGGGCAATGACCCTCTGAGCAGCAGTGGGACCTCTGAATGTGTGGCACTGACACCAAGCCAATTAGAGGAGCAGAATGGCCTTACAGAAGGCCATACAGAGATGAACAGTTTGCTTAAGACTTGCTCTAACTTAAATGCAAGGCAGAAGGAAACAGGAAAGTTAACACTAACTTGACGGAAGTACAATATAAAATCCAAGAGTGATGTCAACTTCTGGTGGACAGTTACCCCCCAGGAAATTATAGGATGTTTTGTAAGGGGAGCTTCACAAGAGATTCTTGCAATCTTCATGAGAAACTGACATTTCCATTAGTTGCAGCAGACCTTTGAAACTCAGCAGGGAGAAAGCCCTCAGGCTAAGGGAATGACTTTTCTTTACCCCTATGAAATTTCATCCAGGTTTAGGTGAGCTGTAAGCTCTTAACTAAGAATCACCATTTCCTTTCTCTTTTGTGCACTCCTCAGGCAAACTTGAGCAGCATGCTGAAATAATGCCTGAACACCTTGGGGGAGGTGGGGGGGAAAGACCTTAGAAATAACAATTCATTTAAACTAATTTTGAAAAGATATTATCAATGTTGAGAAGTTGAGTAGCTGAATGTAGGAAATGCCAGAGCTACAGCTATGAAACCTCTATTCTCTTTATGTGCAAATAGGCAGGTACCTTCTGAACAGCAGAACTCGGCTGTAGGGCTTGTTTCTATGAAATAATATGAAGTATGGGGCAGGATGACTCAGGCTTACTGTAATGGGAATATCTGCTCCTTTTGATTTGCCTTCTATTATCTGAATTTATAACCCTCTTGGACAGCGCTCTTCCTGAGATACTGGTCTGAGGACGATAAGTAAATTTGCCCTTCAAAAAGCAGAAAAGCTGTGCAGTCAGGCATCCCAAGCTGTTAATGAACTATGGCTTCCCTTCCCAAATCTGTGTTACACTTTTGACTCCTCCTAGCACCTGTGATTGCCCACCAGCATCTGAAATGCAATGGTGTATACTTAAAACCTTACCAGAGATCTTTTCTTGTTGAAGAAAAAGGTAACTTCGGGTTAAAAACTAACTAATAAAAAAGCCCAAACAAGATAAAAAGAAGTAAACCAGTACCAGAATTCAATATTTTTCTTTATACCATTCCTATGAAGCAGGAAAATGTTACTTTCCAGGAGGAAAAGGGAGGCACTTGATACAAACATTAGGAGTAATGAAGAGCCCAACGGCTATATGATAAGCACTACAGAAATTATTCTCAGAAGGAGATTATATGAAATGTACAGTCACTGGATCCTCTGGTCTTTCTGCTTTTTCCCCTTACACAAAACTATATGTATCTTCACTGATTTGAAGGCAGTGGAAGATGGACAGCAATACACTTTGGAGGATCTTGACTGTCACATTTTACCTCAACACAAAGTTTGTCACTGCTGGGAGTAGGAGCTGGGTCATTTAAGGTGTTTTACCCTTAAAGATCAATTTTCCCCTGACAGTTCAGGAGTTTTGGTAGCAGAATTTGACCACAAATAGAACAGGATTTTATAAATCTGTTTTCTGGATTTGATCCCCCAGCTTCTGAGGAAGTGAAAGGCACAGCCAAATTCAGCTCAGCTGTAAAATGGTGCTGAATTCAGATTGGGCTGTAATGATCTTTTTCCAAAATCATTTTGGGAAATTGATGTTTAAAGAACATTTTTTTTTCAGTGATGCATGAACAACTCTATTACTTCTAGCTGCAGATCTAGGGTTTTTTTCTTATCTTTATAAAAACCTGTTTCAGAACGTTTGTCACCAAATTTCCTGGGCAAGCAGACACACTGATGTTGTAAACTGTAAATTCCTTAAATTCCCACTGTAATCCTCATAATTTTCCCAGGACAAGAATAAAGAGAAGATTAATAGAGCAATAATTCCCCTCTGTTTAAGTACACAACTGAAAGACGTAGAGCTCAAGTGAGGGTTTTGCTTATGCCTGCATAGAAGTTTTTGGTAAGATTTGTGGACATCCTCTCAGAAGCAGCATTGTCGAACAGCAGTCAGTAAAATTTGCCAAAATCAACATGAGTTTATGGTCTGCTATAAAGAGAGGTGAGGTTATCATGTATTCAAGTATAAGACGGAGTAAACAGTAGTTTCAGTAATCTCTGTCTCTTTCCATCTCTTATGTCTGTGTAATCTCTAAGGAGTTGTGTAAGCTCTACAGCTTGCCAGCTTCCTCAGCCACCAGGCATCATGAAAATCAGTGCTTCATGCCACAGCCTCGAGCACACAGTGTTGTTTTTGGAGGTAACTGCTCTGTAAAGCAGTTTCACCTTACAAAGTGTGCAAAGGAAAGCAAGTAGTATCTTTTGGCAGCCCAGAGTTTTCATTTCAGTCCTTGGTCTGGCCGAGGACTGGTTTGAATCCCCAAGTAGTTTAAAGCAACCATGGCCAGAATGCACCTGGAAGTTTGGCAAAAAGCCTTCTTTCCTGGCCAAATTCCCTTTCCTAAGAAGGGAGCATGGCTTGCTGAGCCTGAATTCTGCTTGTGTTTCATTCTGTGGTGCTAGCTGCTGTATGAGTTTGACTTTTTACCTGGGTTTCATGGCCTTACTGGAGGCTTGACCCTTTAAGCTCTTGGGAAAAGGTCATACAGGGCACAGTTCACAAAATGCTAAAACTAGCCAGCAGAAACAGTACCGAGTATGGGATAGAGTTTTACAAGTTAGGAATCTTTCTATATTACTTTTTTTTCCCCCATGGCATTGTTTGTAGTGTCAGCCAGGATGCATTTTGGATTCTTCCTGATCATCCTTGATTCAGTTGCTATTTTGGGGGGGAATGCCTATCGTAGTTTGATTTGTTATTACTGCAGTGTGATCAGGAGAGAAAAAATATGCACTTTACAAAGTATTCAAAGATATGCATTCTGAAGAGCATACTATAATATGTTTAGGGCCTCATTCTTGTGCTCAGGAGTTTTATGTGTGGCTTGGGTTGAAATTTGAAGCACACTTTCTGCCTAGAGAGGAGTGCTGGCTTCTGCCTTCTTCATTTGGACCTGTAAGGCATCTCACTATGCAAAAAGCCATCTAGGTAAAATTTATCTCAAAAGGGTACTTTGCTATGAATTTTGAAGACAGCCATGTGGAGAACATTTGCTGTCACCAGCAGATGGTGACTGGAATAGCTGTCTCTCCCTGTACCTCTAAGCTCTTGAACACTGTGAATACATACAGTGCAATAATGATTTGGGGAAGTGATGGAGTAAATACACTCGGTGTTACAGCATGGGAGCAAATCCTGAGAGGTGCAGAGCTCCTGCACAGTGCCTTGAAGGCTGGGTGTTGGAAGAGTAAAATCACGCAGGTTGGTGGGGTTTGGAGTAAATATTGCTTTCCATTGCTTTCCATTCAGTCTGTTGTGCATTTTTTTTTGTGGCACTAACTTATGTCAGTGAGTTCTTTTGCAAAGAGTCTGTGCAAATGCTCTGACTCCCATGGAATCAGAAATAGGGATTATGAACAAGGTGTTTGCAGTTTGACCTTGTGACATAAAGTGGCAGAAACTAGAAGATGTTTTCTTTCAGGAGATTGTATATTACTTTTTGGCATAAAACTTCATGTATTAAGTGCAATATACTGGAATTTCATTCTGAGGATAAGACACTTGAGAAAGTAAGGTCTTTAATTCATTTCAAAGGGATTCAAAAGGATACTTCTTTTCAAAATCACATATATATAATATAAAATAAAAAATGAACTTTTTTTTTTCCCAAAATGATACATTTTGCTTGATGTGAAACAAACAGGTACTGAAAATCTGACATTGTGGAAATTTTTCCCCTCTTTGCTTTTGTTTCATATCTGAAGGAAACCAAATTTCGTAATGTGAGCTTTCTCCAGACAAAGACATTTCTAGCTAAATCAGGTTTTCTGAAAGGCAAACCTCTTTCAGCCGTGTATTCTGGATTTGCAGTTTTCATTTTATTAATCTATTTCTCTGTCATTTGCTATCTCTTATAATTCAGATAGCCTATTCCTGTTATTTAACTGCTATAGATAAATGTTTCTACTGCTCCCCAAATCTTTTTGGTTTTTTGTTCCTTGTAATTTAATCATCAGCAATTCTCTGAAGTAGCAGTTCAGGTTCCCTTATACCCTCGATTCCATTTTGCCAAACACAACACAAAAAAGATAGCCTTTGTTAAAAAGTTTAATGTTCTTAATTAGTAGAATTGTCAGACTAATTAGAATACCAATTAGAATTGGCAGGGCTATCGTTAATTTAGAAGTGCTGTGGTCTAGTGTTAATCGCTATTAAACCTTATAGTTTGTGAAAGAGAGGGAGCAAGGAGATGAATATACACGCACACAACCTCCCTCCCCTCCCATTTGAAATGTTAAGGGTCCATAACCATAACGATCTGTGCTGTCAATGTGTACTTAGGGACTGTTTAATCCATGGAGACGTTGATGCAAAGTTAATAACTATTTGTGCACAAAAGTAGCACTGCAGAATAAAAACTTGGGAGTTTTTTTTGCGTGCTGCTATTAAAATGACGAAATCTCATTGGCAGCTGGAAAAGATACTCAAAGCACCAAAGACTTCTTATTGGAAACGTGCAAGACAAATTCACTTTACTTGCTGTTACTTTTGGTACTGTGGAAGTTACTTTGCACTCCTTACAGCACACAGCAAATAAAGATCTCACAGTACTGTAGATAGTGAAATTAAGCTTCAGCACCTGCTGGTTCAGTGAGTTCATATCAGTGCTTCATAGACAGAGGAGTTATCTCAAGTTCCTGTGGTGAGTCAAATATACAGTGGGAAACAGCGAGAACTCAGCAACTTTCGGTCTCTGTATCTAACCCACTCACACACAGTCCCTTCCCATTGACCTAATTCTAACTTTAAAGTGGTGAGAAGTTTATGGAGCAAAACAATTTTATTTTTCAACCGCAAAGGAAAATAATGAAACTTCTATTCAAGCTACGTACTTAAAACATCTGTTCCTGAATGAAACCATAAGGGACAAGCTCCGAGAGGTGGATGCTGTGAATATTGCTGTGAATTCCATGTACGCTGATACCATGCGCACAGAGCCCAATTTATATCTGCAAGCGATTAGGAAGAAAGGGTACTCAGGTGGCTAGAGAAGTGTGCGAGAGCCTTATGTGCCCAAGTCCCAAGTACAAGCATAACGTTTCCTTGGCACAAATATAGTTTCCACTTTGATGTTTTCTCCAGCTGCGCCAATTGCCTTTTGAAATCTCTTACTGGTGATAGATTGAGGCAAGAGTGATGGTGCTGATTATTATTTATCTGTGGCAATAATGATGTGGGCTAGAAGAGGATAGACTTAGGGCAGAGCAGGAAAGAAGAACGGTCAGTGACACTGTTGGTCTTGCAGCACAGCATGAGCATTTGTCTATTCCTCTCCAGCTTGATCTAGTTCAATTATTCCTCTACTTACAGCACAGCTAGTTCACAGTCTGATAAAATCCATTCAGATCTGACTGGGCTGCCTCTGCTCTTCCAGAGAAAGTGAATTATTCATTTTCAGGGAAGTTGGATGTTTAAATTGCAACTTGTGTGTGGTCAAGAAGTCTTTGCCTTGGTCACATATCATCTCATACACTAATGCTTCATTTAACTTCTGTTTATTGTAAAGCTATAGTTGAATATGACACATATGTCTCTCTGTGCTCTTGCAGAAGTAACTGAATTTACATGCTTTATAGAGGAAAACGGATTTAAGAATTGGCTGCAAACTTAACCTTCATAGTTCTAGTCCTATTACTGCTAAAAAGCTAAGATTTGATTCTGGATAAGTAGAACACTTAAAAAAAACTAATTAGGATACAGTAAAATTAACTGATGAAAAAATTGTTTAACTGAAAACCAGCATGTTAGTTAAATCTTTCTCTAAGTTAGATAGTGAATGTTATAGAACTACATACAAAGCCATTTTTCTCTCTGCTCTTTACATTACAGGGTAATTCAAATGATAAATAAAAATCAATAGTAATTAACAAAAAACAAAAAGATCTTTTCTCCCAACTCAAACCTTTGTTAAACACACAGGAATTCTCTCCAAAACATAGTTGATATATTTTCTTTTAGGGATTTTTATTGACTATGGGTCTTCTTTTAAGTACTAGTACACTCACTTCAAGGCTTCAGTTTTGAGCTACCCAAATGCTGTACGCAATGTGAGACCACTAGGACACTTTAAATCTCTTCAGATCCCACTCCAAATCCGTCAGTCTCATTTTCAGTGAGAATTTTTCTGATTAGGGAATGAAAAGAGATTCCTGGCATCTTAGGCTGCTGCAACCTTTTCTCTCAGCCACTTATTTCATGCCCTACCTGCAGGTCTTTCCCACTTACTCTTACAGAGTCTAAAGAATCATTATTTCACTTTTGTTGAGGCAGAAATATGCAATGAGGGTGACACTGAGGATGGCAGTAAAGGTGGGGGTTTTTTACTGAGCTCAGCCCCAGGCAGATTTCACTCAGCACCACATTAGATGGGGGATGAATAACAGCCCTGCATGTACATGTGATGCCATGCAATGACTCACATATTCTCAGCTTGCTGCCCAGTGAAAGCCAACTGTCCCAACTTGCTTTTAGAGAATGGGAAGAGCAGGCACCATCTTTCCTGGGGTGTCTAAACTATGTGCAGTGAATCAACTTCTATTACTTTCCACCAACTCTGTGTGTGTGTTAAACAACCTGCTCAAGACAATGTTTTTTCGTGGCTGATGTTAGATGAATCAAATTCCACTGTAAGTCTTCACAGGGTCAAGACTAGAGATGTTTGGAAATCCTTTGACAGAAAAGTTTCTTGTGATAGAGCTGCCTTCACAAATCAGAATTTTCTTAGGCGTGTTTCACCATTAGCGAAGTCTGTTAACTGTCTACTCAGGAAGCCAAAGCCAGTCCTCTGTAGAGTCAATAAATCCCTACAGGAATAACATGTTCCTTGGGCTGTTCCGAAATGTGTATTTCTCTAGTCAGTTAAATGACAATGTGTCCTGTCTTAGAAGACACACTGGGTCATGGAAGCTATGGTGTGGGCCCCAATT